ACTTTAAAATCTAACAACCCCACCGCGAGGGTGGGGAATAAACAAAAATAAAAAGCACCAAAAATAGGCCCTCCTGCATCAACTTTCATGTCAGTTCGGAAGGTAACATATATGCCAGGCTTCAGGATGACCTACTACCGAGGGGTGAAGCAGCAAATCAGCAAGAGAATACCCTCGATACCCGAAGAAAGGCTCTCCTTCAGCGGCTCTTCAATCCACCTTGCGAAGCGATCCTCCACGGCGCCCTGGCCATCTTTCACGTAGGCGACCTTGGCCCCGGTTGTCCAAAGGGACCGAGTTCCGACATAGCTAACAATCAGCACATGGACAATGGACTCATCGGTTCGAACATGGTGCTCCAACACCAGACTTCTTGACAGACTTAAGCTTGGCACACAGTGCGCTGAACCGTTCTGCCAACCATTCCACTCTTGATTGATCGTCCAGTCTATCCACACAAGCGTCATCAAGTGTCTACACTTAACTTTCTGCCCGTCTAGGCTTATCTTTAATCTCTCTGCAAGTACGAATGAATTCGTGTGTGCAATGACCGGGGCCGGGCACCACCATATCGGTGTTTTGCATCAGCGGGCCGTTTCCACGATCTGGGCTCAGCCAGCCCATGCCCATCCAACCTCAGATTGCCCTGAAGATGCACGGATCCCTTGCGGAGTTTCACAACTTCCCGTGCACCACCAAGGCCGAGATGTCAAAAGTCTTTGAAGTCATGGATATGGGACATCAAAGCTCATACGAACATCCGCAAAATTTGAGACATCGAGAACCTGCTTGAGGAGATTGGCACAGAACCGTGGCGTGGACATTTCCACACAACGTGGAGCAGGGCTGGTGGCCAAGTTTGGGCTTACGTTGGGCTTGGAACTCTGAGAATCCCTGCGAATTCATTACAACCTTATACTGCTGGCTAAGATCGTGCCCAATTATTCAATCGCCTGTTGTCACAACGGAGTCATGCCTTTGTACAGGACAAGGGCAGATAAACTTTAGCCATGCTGAAGAGAGAAAGCTTTGGATTGACAGTAGCTGATTGATATCAAACGGGGGAATCATCTCCAAGGAGGCCAGGGATTCTGTGCCCATTCAAGAATGCGACACTTTCTATCCTGGCAATCATGCGTGGATGCCTTTGCAAAGCACTGGCAGCCTAAGCAGGGCTATAGCCATAGCTGTTCTTACTTCACTAACAATTCCCCCAAGTGAGGCTCTGTGAAAATTCATCTGAGTCCACTCAGCTGCCCCACTTCGAGCAAGTCCTTCATTGCCCTTCCACTAAATACCAAGCCCCTCACCCTAAAATGATGGGCAGTTTGCATAGCAGCTGGCGGCCCAAACTCTAGTAGGGATACTCTGAAGCCAAGCTGCCGAGCGTTTTCGCGCACAGCGATACATTCACAAATTGCTGGAGGAAGTCCACGGAGTAGAAGATTGTGTAATGCGGTCCTTCGGCTTCACATCTGTACTGATTGAACAGCTTCGGAATGGGTACTTGGGATCAAGCTCAGATTGAGACGTACGCGAAAACACACTGGCGCAAGGGGGTCCTGACGTGAGCCCAGTTGTGGAGTGTTGAGACAAAGGCATCCTAGAGATGGAGGTAGAACAAGAACAAGGAAGCCATTATTTGCCTGAATGTCAGGCGCGCCCCACGTACGCCATACTTCTTGAGAGACCCGACCCAACCAGTGCCAGTTTGAAACGCCCTTGTTGTTCGTAATAGGTTCAGCCAACTGAGAGGAGGTTCCCTCCTACAGCGTCCACGGAAAACGAAAATCTTACTCCTGCGTTGATGATCCTCAGAGCCGCGAGGCCTGATGCTTCCTAGATCTTCTGAGTAGCCTACTCACCTGCCCATACCCGCCCTAGAGTCTGCCCAAGCCTCAACTGCAAATTGCATGGCTTTTCATATCAGCTGCCATCCGAACTGCTGACCTGAACCTGCACAAACGATGTAAGCCATGAAAGTGCGTTGAAGCTCCAAATATAAAGACTTTGCACAATAGCATTTACGTTTGAACTCGCCTAAGAGAAATTACAGGGGCCCTAATGAATCCACAGGGGTCCATAACAAGGGCGCCTAGGAGAACCATGGAGAACCTGTATCTGCCCCAGCCTAGGCTGCGGTAGGTAGCGTAGCCCCAATCCATTCCAAAGTTTGCCTCAATGATCAGCAAGTCCTGCCGGGGTACGAGATTACGCCCTTGTAGGTTTAGGGTTTTCGGGTTCGGGATCCAACAAAGTACAAGGGACAAAGCTGGACCATCATGACAACAACGCTTTGTGTGTTACGGTCTTACCGTAAACTGTGCTGCAAGCTGCTCTTTGGCAGGGGTCGAGAGCGGGGCGGGCGTTGTAAGCGCTAGCGGTAGTTGCCAGAGGTTTGCACTGTCAGCGCGCGTGTATGTATGTGTTTTGTAGGTGGTATAATGTCAAACGCTAGGGGTCAATGCTCCCAAAAATGTAGCAACGAGTTCGTGAGTGTGGTGTTCAACCTGATCTCAGGATGAGCAATGTTCAACGCACAGTTCGCAGAGTAAGGGTTCGAATGCCACATCGCTGCTAGGACTAAGATGGACTAGGTAGGTGCGCAAATCTAGAGACGGGAGCGGCAATGTAAAGAGTGATTTTTGACGACGCCGCGCCGCACAATGCCGCAGTCCACGTGGAAGATCGTGGCCCTCATGCGGAAACGAGCATCCCCCCCGCAGCCACAACTCAATTCAGGGCTTTCAAGGTTGAGACTGTAGTTCTGTGATACCTTGCGGGTGCAACCAACACTTGACAACGTAACATCCCTAGATTTCAGGCACCACTCAAGACAACAAGTCATGTCGGTCTGCGAAACCAAAAAACAGAAGCCCAACGCAAAGAACCTGGTGACCTGAAACTGCATAAGATGCCAACGATGAGAAACCCTGGGACAGAAGCTCTTGAGCTCAAGTCATCCCTGCTCGTTTAGCCTCCGAGTTGGCAACAATTGGTTGATTGACGCCCTCGGCATAGGTTTCGTTGCCTGCATCCAGAAGTAATGGGAGCCAACTGGGAAGATCGCGCGATACTACACATGGTCGTAAGTTGGGTTGCGCGTCTCCTAGATAGGGCAGACCTTGGGCGGTTTACTGCTTAGCCGTAGCCAGTGGCAGATACGACTTGAAGGATCTGACGGAGACGGTTTTGCCAAGTCTCGGGTGTCATGGCTTTTGGGGCACTTGGAGGACAGCTGAGCTAGGTTGCGCACTGGGAAATAGCTGGTCTTGAGGGCCTCGCATGGCTTTGCATACGCATGCGTCCTGAAGGTTTAGCGGCAGTTGCAAGCCGGATTAGACATACCCAAACGGGTAGGGTAATAAATCCACTTATCCTACTGTCCTACTGTGTCATAGCGGTTCGTGCCTCTTTAAAGTGCGATGCCCCAGGGTTTGTTGAATTCCCAGCAAGTGTGGCCTACCTGCTGGAGGTTATGAGGCCTAAATTGTTTCCAATACCGTGTTGGGACATACGTAGGTCAGGCGAAACCGTACTCGTGAAGAGCATAAGAGAAAAGCACATTGATAACCAGAATCCAAAGATATCTTGTAAAAGAAGCCGTTTGAAGGAGCCCTTTTCAAGGGAACACGCGGGTTGACCGATCACTTGGGACGTCATGATCTCAGGACTGATGGCCTGATGTCTTGTTTCTATCTGTTGCAGTTGCCTTTGGGGCAAGGAGGTTCCTTTTTTCGCCTGAGCAACAAATAGGGGCCGAAATCCAACCCGCATGAGGGGTATATACTCAGAACTGCGGCCATTGGAGGCGGTTATAATTTATAATTTGTCTAAAACCTTGGAAGAAAACGCAACTTTGCTATCCCACGCAGAGAATCCGCTACGAAATAAGTAAAACCTCTTCGTAGAAACTTCCCTCCGTGGGCCATACCAAAACCAGGGAAGATAAGATGCCCATCAGGCCGTCACAGCATACCACTCGCTTATGTAAACAACCAGAACCTGTTCTAGACTGTCCTAGTCCTCGCAAGCACCGCAAAGAAGTGCCTAACAGCCACAGTATCATTCCGAAACAAGAGTGAGATACAGTGAGGTCCAACAGTCGCAGAGTTTTTTGCTTGAGATCTTGAGCCTCTGGAGGTAGGTTCCCGCATCTGGCTAC